AAATAAATAACCCAATTAAAAGACGGGCTATAGGTTTGAACGAAAAGTTCTCAAAAGAAGAAATAAAAATGGCTAATAAACAACTTTAAAAGTGGGGGTACTTTCACTGGGGAGGGAGGAAAGAGAGGAAAACAGGGGGAAAGAGAGAGAAGAAAGATAAATAATGCTTTGGTGCTGTGGAAATACCCAGGAGAAACACAGTGCCACACAGGAGAAACCTGCCTTCATGATGTCGGTCAGGATAGTTCGAGACACTCCAAAACTTACACTGGCTACTGTCACAGTCCGTGATTGCAGCCCAGAACTCGAAGATAAGACCATATTCCTGAGGACCGGACAGACTTCAGACACAGGACTTGGAACAATGGAGCTGGCACTGACCTGGAAGCCTCTCGGTGAAGACAGGCTCCCACAGTTCTACAGATACTGATCAAGCTGATGAGGGAGAAAAATCGACCAGTTGTCCAAATCCAGCTTTATGGCCTAATAATCACAACAATATGGGCTGCAGAAAACCATATTGGTACAGTAATGGCACTTTTATCTATGGGTAATCAACAGCTGTGTAATTGGACTTTAAGCCCACGCAATGGATGGGAACTAGGGTGTGGCACTGCAAACATAGCCAAACACACACGGCTGAGAGGCCATAGATCATAGAGAAAATCCTAAATTTGTCACCTCCCAAGACAAACTTAATTTCTTACTATATGCTAAATATGGATTCTTACACTGACAGGCCAGTACATCAGCCACCACTCCTCAAAGAAGCTCCTTTAACCACACACAGAGATGATTCCCGAGTTCCACAACTGGTCACCAGCAGAGAATACGAGTCTGTGAGATGCCCAACGCTAAGTGACACATCTACAATGGAACCTCTACACCTAAGGCTCGTGGAGCAGACAGGAAAATGAAGTGGAGAGAGTCTAAGTAACACATCGCTGAGCTCTCATCAGCAAAACCGCTCAAGCAACAGAACACAATGAACTCAAAAGGCCACAAATGGCCAAATTGTAGACAATTAGACTCTACAGACTGGAAGCCCCTGGACAGGAATCCTCCATTAAACACCCAGCAGGGCTCAAGGACCATTGCAGAACGGGGCCAGAAACATTGAAAGAGCCAGGAGAGGAGGTGCATGGCCCTACGGAAACAGAGTCCTACAGGATCCTGGGACCTTGTTTATATGAATTTACAGCATTCACAAGACCCACGCCCACTCATTCAGATAAAAACCCAGCCAGGCACGGTGGCGCACGCCTTTAATCCCAGCACTCGGGAGGCAGAGGCAGGT